TGGTGACCTGACTCCTAATCACTCTCTCAAATACTTTTATGATGTGCGATGTTAGTGCAACTGGTCTATAATTTTTTGCCAATGCTTTGCTCCCTCCCTTGTGTAGAGGGGCTATGTCTGCTACTTTAAGTGCATCTGGTATCTCCCCCGTGTCCAAGCTCTTCCTCCACACTATACTGAGTGCCTGTGCTACCGGCACTTTGCATTTCTTTATAAATATTGAATTCCATGAGTCTGGACCTGGGGCCGAGTGCATGGGCATGTTTTCAATTTCTTTTTCAAAATTTAGTGCGCTCGTGTTTATATCAGTTATATTTACCGGGTTTGAATATCCCGCATAAAGAAATTGTCTGGATCTTCCACCTTCATGTTGTTTATTGGAGTGCTGAACATGTCCTCATACTGCTTTTTTAGGATTTCACTAATTTCTTTGTCATCCTCCGTGTATGAACCTTCACTTGTACGAATAGGTCCAATACTGGCAGTGGTTTTTGCTTTTGATTTCGCATATGAGAAAAAATATTTTGGATTTTTCTTTATTTCCTGAATTGCTTTCTGTTCTAACTGCCTTTCTTCAGTTCATATGAGTGTTTCAATTTCCGCTCGATTTCTTCAATCTCCCTATTTAAATTATTCCATCTTTAACGAGAAATTCGTGTCTGCATAAGCATTTCCGTTATTTTTTCCTTTCGTTTATAGTGTCGTCTGCGTTCTCTTTCTACGTTAGATCTCTTTCTGGCTTTCCTCAAAGGAACATGTTTCAGACAGACTTGATACGCTTCTGAAGTAAGTTTTTCTATTCCTTCTGTAGGACTTGTATTATTTAGAACAGTTCCCCATGGAATGTTTGTAAGTTCCCTGTTTATTATCTCCCAGTCTATCCTTTTATTATTAAAATTGAATTTACTGAATAGCCCCTCTCGCTTTATCAACGTTTTAGGTCTATTCTGAGTATTGATGGTCGTTTGCACTTCAATGAGTTTGTGATCTGAGTATGTGGTATCTGATATCGTAATGTCTCTGATAATGTCTTCATTGTTCGTAAAGACCAGATCTAGAATATTTTCATTTCTCGTTGGCTCCGATATCTGCTGATTGAGTGAAAATTTGTCACAGAATCTAAGTAGTTCTCTAATCTGTGGTTGGTTAGGTCCTGATAGATTTCCTGGTATAATATTATTGTTTGCTATTCTCCACCTGAGACTAGGCAAGTTGAAGTCACCTAGGAAGATAATATCAGGTATCGGGTTCTCCAAATTATCAAGGCTATTCTCTATTTGTTTTATCTGTTCTGTGAATTCCTCAGCTAATATACAAACATCTGGCGGTTTGTATATTAGAATAATCACTAAGTTTATTTTCTCTATTTTTACTCCCAGTACCTCTACCACCTCATTTGTAACGTTTAGGAGCTCCGAGCATACAAGGTCTTCCCTAATATACAGACCCACTCCTCCATGTGACCTAATTTTCCTATCACACCTGTATAGGTTATATCCTGGAATCCAGATCTCACTGTCCAACAATTCCCCTGCATGGGTTTCTGTGAAAGCTCCAATTACTGCATTTGACTCCGTGAGGAGGCCATTTATGAACTGTACTTTGTTGTTTGTTCTTGTTTTCAGTCCTTGTATGTTGGCAAAGATGAATGAGGTTACTCTATTAGTGATAGTTTGAATGGGAGACTTTTTCGGCAAGTCCATTAATCGTGGACATAATGAGTTTGTTCTGACCAGTACTGATTGTTGTAGGGCAGTTTTCTGTCGTAGTTGTAGTTCCCTTTCGGTGGGTAATTGTATCTGTAATTCTGGAATGCCAGTGGATCTGGCATCCAGTTCCATACACTCTCCATGCTGCTCCTTTTGAATTCTCTGCCGGTCTGGTATAAACAATTTATAGAGTTTCCTCCAAATTCATTATCCTGCTTGCCACTCTTTATGTAGCGTTCCGTGCCTTTCACGTGAAAGTGTGGGCAGCTAAGGTCATAGCATTTTCTGTCCTCCAGTGAGGTTTGGCACATGTCAGGATGGAAAAACCTACATATTGATCCAAATCGACACTCATCTTTCCTAAGCATATTTAAACATTTTTTGGGATGTTGGTAACTGCATTCTAATCCTTTCTTATTACCAGCATATCTATGTCTGCATATGCCCTTTGCATGAAATTTGCATAAGTCTGTCCTTCTGTTCTGAATTGCTCTATCGAGAACCGTCGTGGTGTCTGTACCTATCGAGCTGTCAGTGCTGTCTGGTACACTTTCTAGTTTACTGTCATCTACATCCAGGCCTACTAAGTCAGAGTTTGCAACTTCCTGAGTTTCAGCCTCAGTTTCATCCCTGACTATAGCCTCCGCCCCTTGTATATTAGAATTGTTGTTCCTTTCACACTCCTTCTGGATGGCTGGTAGGCTTCCAATGAATGATGTTTTCCGATCATGCGTCATGTTATCTAGAAGGTTTTTTAGGATATTCCAAGCTGGCAGGTCATGTTTACACACCAGAGCAAGTGGCCAGCTCTCAGTGCCGTAGTGTTACTCACTCCTGTACAAGCCGAATGGAATCTAGTCTTACAGATATAACATTCAATTCCCGTTGCCTTCGACTTTAAGAAGTTGTTACAGTGGCCACAAATTTGTTTATTTACTCCCATATTGCCTTGTTTTGTTGTATATATCTATATATTTATAATATTATATGTATATTGTATATTTGTAACAATATATATGTATATATATTTATATGTTTAATATTATAATATATGTATATCGTATATTTGTAATATTATGTGTGTTTATTTTGTTCAAACTTTATGGCAGGTACTTAGCGTAGGGTAGCGAGGCTGGTCCCCCGGTCAGTACAGGTGACCTCTTGTGGCCCAGGTTGATGTCACCAGTTTCCAGTTACCCGATTTATAACCACTGATGCCGCCTCTTGCAACTATTTATATTTCTAGTGTTCTATATTTATAATATTCACTTCCAACTTATATGTTGTTGTGATACCCGTTCCACATCACTGTTCCACGAATCACCGTTCACTATTTTTTTTTTTTTTCGTTTTTTTTTATCCTAATACACGCATGTACACAAAGCCTCGTTCACTGGCTCACACGTGGTCTCCCGTTTATTCTCTATTTAACACAAAGTTCTATTGTTAATGACTATTTTCAATTTTCCAGCGGTCACTATGCACTCTGTTATGTCTGTAATCAGTAGTCCACGGCAGTAGTCCTACGAATCCCTGTTAATGTCACGATTTTAACGGAGCGCGCACGGTACGTCTACCCCCTCCCTCGACCTCGAGGTGTAGGGAGCAGGAGGCCAGATACAAGGTATCATCTGGGAGAGGAAATTCTTCAGGAGTCAGAGAAAGAAAAAGACTTTGGGGTTGATATCACGGCAGACCTGTCTCCTGCAGCCCATATCAAGAGGATAACATCAGCGGCATATGCCAGGCTGGCCAACATACGAACGGCATTCAGAAACTTGTGTAAAGAATCATTCAAAACTTTGTATACCACATATGTCAGGCCAATCCTGGAGTATGCAGCCCCAGCATGGAGTCCATATCTAGTCAAGGATAAGACTAAACTGGAAAAGGTTCAATGGTTTGCCACCAGACTAGTACCCGAGCTGAGAGGTATGAGCTACGAGGAGAGACTACGGGAATTAAACGTCACTTCGCTGGAAGACAGAAGAGTTAGGGGGGACATGATCACCACATTCAAGATTCTGAAGGGAATTGATAGGGTAGATAAAGACAGGCTATTTAACACAAGGGGCGCACGCACTAGGAGACACAGGTGGAAACTTAGTGCCCAAATGAGCCACAGAGATATTAGAAATAATTTTTTTTAGTGTCAGAGTGGTTGACAAATGGAATGCATTAGGAAGTGATGTGGGTGGAGGCTGACTCCATACACAGTTTCAAGTGTAGATATGATAGAGCCCAATAGGCTCCGGAATCTGTACAACTGTTGATTGACGGTTGAGAGGCGGGACCAAAGAGCCAGAGCTCAACCCTCGCAAACACAACTAGGTGAGTACACACACACACACACACACCACACACACACACACACACACACACACACCAACACACACACACACACACACACACACACACACACACACTAAAGATACTAGTAGTGTTGACTGGCGACAATTGCCCAAAATGTGGTGTCATTGAGGGAGTTGAGGAGAGCGGCGGGGTGGAAACACACACATGCCGTGTCTCCATACTTACCTATATGTGCGCACTCGCTCCTCCACGTGTTCCCGGGCCCCGCCTTCACTCCTCTTCTTATATGTGTACACTCTCCACCCTCCTGTTTTTTTTTAAGTTACTTTTTGAGAGAAAACGATTGTGGACAGGAGTCAAAATACGACGGTGTAATAGGATTGGGAGTTGGTCCTCCCGCCATCAGCAGGGAGAGATGCGCGCAGCGCACACTCGCACAGGCCGGGCCAGGCAACAGACCCACACACTGTCAGTTACCTGGGTGGCAGCCGTGGAGGGAGGGTCACGCTCCCAGGCGCTCCCCCACGCCTTTGTTTACGTCTGTGTGCGCATGCGCGGTCCTCTACCAGTGAGCTCTGATTCCCTGGTGTTGACGGAAGTGTACATTGTTGTGGGTGTGACTCAGCTGGAACAATACCGGTTGTTCCGTACAGGAACAATATTGATAGTACAGAGTACTCTTCAATTCTTATGGAACGATAATCGTTCACTTACGTAGCCCAAATTCACAAATGGTACTTGTGGGTATAGCAAGTGCAGCTACAACCAGCAGGTGTAGTGTGAGCTACACCCAGCAGGTGTAGAGTGAGCTACACCCAGCAAGTGTAGTGTGAGCTACAACCAGCAAGTGTAGTGTGAGCTACACCCAGCAGGTGTAGTGTGAGCTACACCCAGCAGGTGTAGTGTGAGCTACACCCAGCAGGTGTAGTGTGAGCTACAACCAGCAGGTGTAGTGTGAGCTACACCCAGCAGGTGTAGTGTGAGCTACACCCAGCAGGTGTAGTGTGATAAAGTGTAACACTGAGAGCTGGTATAGCCGTGCACAGGTGTGACCACAGACAAACATTGCCAGGTGTTGACTCGAGCGGTGCGTGGAGGACAGCCTTGGAGCTCAATATATTAGGTCAGTAGGCGCTCTGCGGCATTTCCTCAAGGTTGGCCTTGAGCGGTGGCGGCGGCGGCGGCACCGCTCAAGCACCAACCTCCACCAGTGCTGGAGGTTGGTGCCACAGGTGTTGGTGGCCACAGGTGTTGGTGACACAGGTGTTGGTGGCACTGTGTGTGTGTGTGGTTGGTGCCACAGGTGTTGGTTGGCACTGGTGTTGGTGGCACAGGTGTTGGTGGCACTGGTGTTGGTGGCACAGGTGTTGGTGGCATGGTGTTGGTGTGATGGTGAAAATGGTGTTGGTGGCACTGGTGTGTGTGGGTTGGTGCCACAGGTGTTGGTGACACAGGTGTTGGTGGCACTGGTGTTGGTGGTTGGTGCCACAGGTGTGGGTGGCAATGGTGTTGGTGGCACTGGTGTTGGTGGCACAGGTGTTGGTGAAACTGGTGTTGGTGGCACAGGTGTCGTGTGGTTGGTGCCACAGGTGTTGGTGGCACTGGGTGTTGGTGGCACAGGTGGTGGTGGCACTGGTGTTGGTGGGTGGTGCCACAGGTGTTGGTGGCACAGGTGTTGGTGGCACTGGTGTTGGTGGACACAGGTGTGGGTGGTGGTGACACAGGTGTTGGTGGCACTGGTGTTGGTGGCACAGGTGGTTGGTGAAACTGGTGTTGGTGGCACAGGTGTTGGTGGCACTGGTGTGTTGGTGCCACAGGTGTTGGTGACACTGGTGTTGGTGCCACTGGTGTTGGAGGTTGGTGCCCCAGGTGTTGGAGGTTGGTGCCACAAGTGTTGGTGCCACAGGTGTTGGTTGGCACTGGTGTTGGTGGCACAGGAGTTGGTGGCAAAAGTGTTGGTGGCACAGGTGTTGGTGGCACAGATGTTGGTGGCACAAGTGTTGGTGGCACAAAGTGTTGGTGCCACAGGTGTTGGTGGCACTGGTGTTGGTGGCACAGGTGTTGGTGACACAGGTGTTGGTGGACACAAGTGTTGGTGGCACAAGTGTTGGTGGCACAGGTGTTGGTGGCACAGGTGTGTTGGGGGCACAGGTGTGGTGGCACAAGTGTTGGTGCCACAGGTGTTTTGGCACTGGTGTGGTTGGCACTGGTGTTGGTGGCACAGGTGTTGGTGACACAGGTGTTGGTGACACAGGTTTGGTGGCACAGGTGTTGGTGGCACAGGTGTTGGTGGCACTGGTGTTGGTGGCCACAGGTGTTGGTGACACTGGTGTTGGTGGCACAGGTGTTGTTGGGGCACTGGTGTTGGTGGCACAGGTGTTGGTGGCAAAGGTGTTGGTGACACAGGTTGGTGGCACAGGTGTTGGTGGCACAGGTGGTGGTGGCACTGGTGTTGGTGGCACAGGTGGTGGTGACACAGGTTGGTGGCACAGGTGTTGGTGGCACAGGTGTTGGTGGCACTGGTGTTGGTGGCACAGGTGTTGGTGGCACTGGTGTTGGTGGCACAGGTGTTGGTGGCACTGGTGTGTGGTGGCACAGGTGTTGGTGACACGGTGGTGGTGGCACAGTGTGTTGGTGGCACGGTGTTGGTGGCACAGGTGTGGGCGGCACAGGAGTTGGTGGCACAGGTGTTGGTGGCACAGGTGTTGGTGGCACTGGTGGTGGTGCCACTGGTGTTGGTGCCACAGGTGTTGTGTGACACAGGTGTTGGTGGCACAGGTGTTGGTGCCACAGGTGTTGATGGCACAGGTGTTGTTAGATCCGCTGCCGTCAAGTTAGCCAGGACCAAAGAGCTGCAGCTCATCCACACCGTAACCACAACTAAGTGAGTACATAGGGATATGTACACGGGGTACACGGGGGGGGGTACCAGAGCTCTCCCAGGCATTGTGGTTGTACCAAGTGTACCAGAGCACACACAAGAGTGTACCAGAGCCACACACAAGAGGTGTACCAAGTGTACCAGAGCCACACAAGAGTAGTGTAGCAAGTGTACCAGAGCCACACAAGAGTGTGTAGCAAGTGTAACCAGAGCCCACACAAGAGTGTACCAGAGCCCACACAGAGAGTGTACCAAGTGTACCAGAGCCACACAAGAGTGTAGCAAGTGTACCAGAGCCCACACAAGAGTGTACCAGAGCCCACACAAGAGTGTAGCAAGTGTACCAGAGCCCACACAAGAGTGTAGCAAGTGTACCAGAGCCACACCAGAGTGTAGCAAGTGTACCAGAGCCCACACAAGAGTGTACCAGAGCCCACACAAGAGTGTACCAAGTGTACCAGAGCCACACAAGAGTGTGTAGCAAGTGTACCAGAGCCCACACAAGAGTGTACCAGAGCCCACACAAGAGTGTAGCAAGTGTACCAGAGCCACACAAGAGTGTCGCAAGAGTGTACCAGAGCCCACACAAGAGTGTACCAGAGCCCACCCACGAGTGTTACCAAGTGTACCAGAGCCACACAAGAGTGTAGCAAGTGTACCAGAGCCCACACAAGAGTGTTACCAGAGCCCACACAAGAGTTGTAGCCAGTGTACCGAGCCCACACAAGAGTGTAGCAAGTGTACCAGAGCCACACCAGAGAGTGTAGCAAGTGTACCAGAGCCCACACAAGAGTGTACCCAGAGCCCACACAAGAGTGTACCAAGTGTACCAGAGCCACACAAGCGTGTAGCAAGTGTACCAGAGCCCACACAAGAGTGTACCAGAGCCCACACAAGAGTGTACACAGAGTGTACCAGAGCCACACAAGAGTGTAGCAAGTGTACCAGAGCCCACACAGGTGTGTACCAGAGCCCACACAAGAGTGTACCAAGTGTACCAGAGCCACACAAGAGTGTAGCAAGTGTACCAGAGCCCACACAAGAGTGTAGCCAAGTGTACCAGCGTGTACCAGAGCCCACCCGAAGAGTTGTAGCAAGTGTACCAGAGCCCACACAAGAGTGTAGCAAGTGTACCAGGCCCACACAAGAGTGTAGCAAGTGTACCAGAGCACCACACCAAGAGAGGTAGCAAGTGTACCAGAGCCCACACAAGAGTGTCCAGAGCCACAGTGTACCAGAGCCCACACAAGAGTGTACCAGAGCCCACACAAAGAGTGTACCAAGTGTACCAGAGCCACACAAGAGTGTACCAAGTGTACCAGAGCCCACACAAGAGTGTACCAGAGCCCACACCCAAGTGTAGCAAGTGTACCAGAGCCCACACAAGAGTGTACCAAGTGCACCAGAGCCCACACAAGAGTGTACCAAGTGTACCAGAGCCCACACAAGAGTGTAGCAAGTGTACCAGAGCCCACACCAGAGTGTACCAAGTGTACCAGAGCCAACACAAAGAGTGTACCAAGTGTACCAGAGCCCCACACAAGAGTGTACCAAGTGTACCAGAGCCCACACAAGAGTGTAGCAAGTGTAACAGAGCCCACACAAGAGTGTAGCAAAGTGTACCAGAGCCCACACAAGAGTGTACCAAGTGTACCAGAGCCACACAAGAGTGTACCAAGTGTACCAGAGACCCACACAAGAGTGGTACCAAGTGTACCAGAGCCCACACAGAGTCGTGTACAAGAAGTGTACCAGAGCCCACACAAGAGTGTACCAAGTGTAACCAGAGCCCACACAAGAGTGTACCAAGTGTACCAGAGCCCACAACAAAGAGGGGTACAAGTGTGTACCAGGACAAGCCCACACAAGAGTGTACCAAGTGTACAAGAGCCCACACAAGAGAGTGTACCAAGTGTAACAGAGGTACCCAGACACAAGAGTTGTACCAAGGTGTACCAGAGACCCCACACAAAAGAGTGTACCACACGTGTACCAGAGCCCAACACAAGAGTGTAGCCAAGTGTACCAGAGCCACACAACAGTGTACCAAGTGTACCAAAGCCACAAAAGAGTGTAGCAAGTGTACCAGAGCACACACAGAGTGTAGCAAGTGTACAAAGCCACAACAAGAGAGCCCACACAAGAGTGTAGCAAGTGTACCAGAGGCCACACAAAGAGTGTACCCAGTGTACCAGAGCCAACACAAGAATGTACCAAGTGTACCAGACAAAAGCCCACACAAAGAGTGTAGCAAGTGTACCAGAGCCCACACGAGTGTAGCAAGTGTACCAGAGCCACACAACAGTGTAGAAAGTGTACCAGAGCCCACACAAGAGGTGGAGCAAAGGTTACCAGAGCACACACAAGAGTGTACCAGAGCCCACACAAGAGTGTACCAAGTGTACCAGAGCCCAAACAAGAGTGTACCAAGGGTACCAGAGCCCACACAAGAGTGTACCAAGTGTACCAGAGCCCACACAAGAGTGTACCAAGTGTACCAGAGCCCACACAAGAGTGTAGCAAGTGTACCAGAGCACACACAAGAGTGTAGCCAAGTGTACCAGAGCCCACACAAGAGGGTAGCAAGTGTACCAGAGCCCACACAAGAGTGTACCAGAGCCACACAAGAGTGTAAAGAGACACACAAAAGGCGTTTAACAGAGCCACACAAGAGTGGTCCAGAGCCCACAAGAGAGTGTACCAGAGGCCACACAAGAGGGGACCAGAGCCCACACAAGAGGGTACTAGAGCCCACACAAGAGTGGACCAGAGCCACACAAGAGGGGTACCAGAGCCACACAAGAGTGTACCAAGTGTACCAGAGCACAAAAAAACGTGGTAAAAGGCGTGTAAAAGAGCCCACACAAGAGTGTACCAAGTGTACCAGAGCAACACAAGAGTGTACCAAGTGTACCAGAGCCCACACAAGAGTGTACCAAGTGTACCAGAGCCACACAAGAGTGTACCAAGTGTACCAGAGCCCACACAAGAGTGTACCAGAGCCACACAACAGTGTACCAGAGTATGGGCGACTTTAGGATCAACACAAGCATGCCGTCCAAGGCAGACTCAACAAGATATGCATGCGGAGGAAGAGGTGTGTAACCCTCATGCAATTCACTGTAACGAATTGGTTAAGTTGGTGTAATGGCTGGGGTTCAAACACCCTAATATAACCCTTATCTCCGTGCACATTAAGGGTGAAAATATGTAGAGCTTGATGGTGGGTTTGGGTGTGGGTG